TTACACTGTCTATTTGTCTCCCTGCTTCAAAATATCGGCTCCACCATACCCAATCCTCCTCCCCAGAATTACATCATTGGGTTGTCTTTCCTTTCTGGTATAATTTATGTCCTCCAACTCCCCTGTCCCTTTCACTTTCCAATCTCTTAACCTACATTCATCAGAAGGAATTCCTAAGTCTCCCAATTGCAGTTCCACTTGGTATGCACAGTACCTTTTAAGTGTTGCAGTAAGATGTTAGACTACCTGTTTAGGTAACTGTCATTCCACAGGTGGACTGGATCAAACCTGACCTAGTTTTATGGATTTACTGAAGTTGAGATTTTTGGAAAATAGCATTGCTTGATAAGTCTATTTTTGACTAAGACTGCTGAGGAATTAGTTGAGATTCAAAGAAGCTGAATGCTAAAAACTTGGTTATATATTAAGATTAAGAATAGCTTAAACTGCTCTAACTTTAAGAATCTGAAAGCAAAGAGACCTCAAGGGGAAGATGGTCGTACTGTATTGAAATTGAAGTGCAGCAGTTGCCACATATGACGAGAGAGTAACTGCATTCGAAGTGTTTTTTGACTTGAAATCAGTTTAGAACATCTGCTTGGATTCAAAAACGTATAGATCTTGCAATTAGATTTTGATATTGGTGTATCTCCCTCAGTGTTGAATTTGTGAGAAACTCGTAAGTGCAGACATTTTATGCAAACCTGTTACACTTAAAACAGGTTCTGATGTCCAGTGATTCCATAAACCCTGAATTTTTTTCATCTTACATGCTCAAATTTTACCTATCGTGAGATGAAGCTGTACCTTTCGCCACAGCAAACACTCACAGAAATTAGCAGCCTTGAGTTCATGAAAAGCAAAATTTTGTGATATGATCGCATTCCAAGAATTTATTCTTCTTCTTCATATCATTTACTTTAAATATGTTCAACTGCTTGTAGGAAGACAGCCTGATGTGTTCATAAGGATGCAAACAAACTGAAAAAATAAACTTGCAAATGGAATTGTACTTTTTCAGGTTGAGAAAACCATTTTGAAAATAAGTCTTCCTGCTCAGCCACCAAGTTCATTTGGCCATTTCTTGAATTCTTGGGCTGCTGATAAGATTACATCTTAACAGTCCTTTCTGTAGTCGATGCATAAAATTTCATCTTGAAATTAACTCAATTATATGATCTCAGAATTTTGATTCAATTAAATAAATGTCCCATCATGCTCTGAAGATGAAATATGCTGAGGAACGATACCTTGCAGGCTCACAGCCTTCCAATTCCAATGTTTGACAATTATTCCTTCAGTCCCTTTAATGTAAAACCATTGCAGACTTTACCTAACCTACTGGGCTCCCTGTTCCAAGAACATGTGGTTCCTCCAGATCTAATTAAAATACCTAGGTTATGAGAAACTTTCCAAATATATATCGTACTATAATTTCAGAAATTCATAAGCTTACATTTTACCCATAAATTGTCCATTAATACTTATTTGTTCAAAGGTGATGGATGTATTAGTGTGTGAATGCACTGTTAGTGTATTATGAAGTAAAAGTAATGTAAAGGTATGTTTAGTCATGTTTTGTAATGGTTTTACGATTACCTTAACAGGCACTTTTTTTACTGAGGTACAAAAGATGCTTTATTCCCTGAAACAGTATTTACATATGACAAAATGTACCGTTTCTTTTAAGTTTTTTTTTTAAATTTTTGTGAATGTGGATTTTGTGAATTGCTGTAAAGAACAATGAAACTGTTATCCTTCAGTGCTGGGCACAGCAATATAGGAATTAAGGGAGGATTAAGCTATTTGGCCTTTCAGTCCTGCTTTGCCGTTCATTAAGATTGTGACTGATCTGGTTCTGGCTTTCTGCTCCCCACATTCCTTTTGTCTATCAATAATCTCACTCTGCCTTAAATAAATTCAATGACATCTCTTCAACTGCTGTTGAAGGAAGATAATTCCATAGATTAACTTGCCTTTGAGGGAATAAAAATCTCCTTTTTATATTTGTCTCAAAAGGGAGACATCTTACGCCTAAACTTGTCCCTTCATACTAGTCTCCACCACAAGAGGAAACATCTTCCTAGTATCCACTCTTGATCTGGCTCAAGATCTTAATTTTAAATAAGATTGCCCCTCATTATAGCGTCAGAGGCCAACAGCCAGTGAAATGTACTCTGTCCATATGAGTTTGTGCTGGTCAAAAACAGCTACCTAACTATTCTATTCCCATTTTCACGCACTTAGCTCGTTTGACTTGGATGCATCAGTATCACAAATGTACACTTAAGTACTACTAAAATGTAATGAGGGTTTCTGTCTGTACCACCCCATACAGGCAATGAATTAAAGATTCCCATTGCCCTCTGAGTGAAAAATGTTTTCCTCACATCCCCACTAAACTTCTGCCCCTTTTAAACGTTTGCCCTCCACCAAGAGGGAAAGTCTATCCTATCTATGGCCCTCATAATTTTATCCAAGGAAAATAAACCCAGTCTTTCAAATCTCTCTTCATAACCAGAACTCTTCAGCCCAGGCAACATCCTAGTAAATCTCCTCTGCACCCTCTTCAGTGCAGTCACTACCCTTTTATAATGTGGATTCCAGAACTGCACATAGTATTTTAGTTGTGGTCTAATCTTTTTACACAGTTCTAGCATAAGCTCCCTGCTCTTAAGCTCTCTGCCTCAGCGTATGAAGGCAAGTATCCCATATGCCTTCTCAACCACTTTATTGATCACCCTTCAAAATTTCAGCAGGCACACGCCGAGCTGGTCTAACCTTTTCCCTGTGTGATAACCCACTCGTCCGAGGAGTAAGTTGAGTGAGGGCGGCATGGTGGCTCAGTGGTTAGTACTGCTGCCTCACAGCGTCAGGGACCCAGTTTCACTTCCAGCCTCTGGTAACTGTCTGTGTGGAGTTTGCACATTCTCCCTGCGTCTGCGTGAGTTTCCTCCAGGTGCTCCGGTTTCCTCCCACAGCCCAGAGATGTTGCAGGCAGATGGATTGGCCATGTTAAATTGCCCGTAGTGTCTAGGGATGTTTAGATTAGGTGGGTTAGGCATGGGAAATGCAGGGGTAGGGGAATGGGTCTGGGTGGAATGCTCTTCAGAGGAGCGGTGTGGACTTGTTGGGCCGAATGGCCTGTTTCCACACTGTAGGGATTCTATGATTCTGAGTTTTGTGAACTGTCCTAATCTCCTTATTTAAATGAGGATACTATTGTGGACAGACATACAATACCTATTCAGCACCTCTGCTATTACATAGTTATTCATTATCAGATTCCCACTCGCTAACTTGGGGACCAGGACTAGTTTTAGTTCTTTTCCTATTTACAAACTTCAGCAATCCTTTTTTCAGCCATTGCTTTCTCCAGCTTTATTTTCTTTTATAAACTGACTAATCTTTGCAGATTTGTACGGTGTTTCTTTCAATCTACTACAACCCTTAGCTTCCTTACTTAGTTGTGGATGATGTATCCTTCTCAAGTGATCTTTTTTCTCAATAGGATTTTTTTTGTTATTTAAATATCTCCTTTAAAAGTCTGCCACTGCATTGTAACTATTCTACCTTTTAACCTAGTTTGAGTTTACTAGCTAGCTCTGCCTTATACACTTATAATTACTTATAATTCTGGTTTAAGGCACTAGTGTGAGACCCACTCTTGTACTCTTCAAACAGAATGTAAAATTGTATCCTGTTTTAGTGCTACTGAGAGGTTTCTTTACAATGAGATTAATCCCATCTGCCAAGACTATCAGGTCTAGAATCTTGGATATCGCGTATGAACTCACTTTCTAGTTACTTTTGCCAATCAAATTAATGTCACTCATAATTATTGAGGTAACTTTCTTGTATCCTCCATCTGTCTCTTCCTGTATGCTCTATCCTACAGTGCAGCTATGTCAGGGAGCCCAAAACACATTCCCCCAAGTGAACCCTCTACTCAAACTCATTTTATATCTTGTCCTTTCAGCTAAGGTTACTACCATACCAACACCATCCATAATTAATAGTGCTACCCCACCACCTTTTTTCTAGCTTCCCATTTTATCAACAGGTCAAAAGTTTCAATATTTGGATCATAACCTTGGTCACCCTGCAGCCATATCCCTGTGATGGCTATCAGGCCATACATATTTTGTTAACGAGTCATCCTTTTTTAATGAAATACTGTGAACATTTAGGTACAGAATCTTTTAATTAAGTTTTTTTTTATCCTTTTTCCATCTCTGACCTTATCTGCTGATGTGCTGTTAAGTTTTCACACACTATTCTTTACTGCCACATTCTGGTTAAGATGAGTAAAATTGCTACTTTGTTTCCCCCCTCCCCACACCATTTCATTTACCACAGCCTCTATCACATAATCTGATCCCTCCCTCTCTACAGCCTTTGTTGTACAACTCACTAGAACACTGGTCCACCATGGCTCAGGTGAAAACTGTTTATTTAAATAGTACAGCTCCTACTTGCCCAGCACTGCTGCCAGTGCCTCATGAATCAAAACTCACTTCTCCAACTCTAATCTTTCAGCCACACAGATGTTTCTCTAATCTTATTTATTCTATGCCATTTTTTTGTGGTTCAGGTAATCCAGAGATCTCCCTTGTGAGATTAAACCTTTTAATTTAGCCCCAGCTGTTCATAATCCCTAAACATAATCTCTTTCCTAGACTTGCCTGTGTCATTAGTATCCAGATGTACCATAAAACCTGGACTCTAGCTCCTCCTCCTGCAAGCTTCTCTCCCAGAGCAAAGTGGATGTCCTGAACCGGTACCTGGCAGACAACTTTGATACTCCACGCTTCTCTATAACATGAAACAGTAAAAAAAAATTTCTTCGAAAAGCTATATAGAGATGGCCTGAGCTTTAGATGCATGTGCTGGAACACATTTTGATATTGACCTTGTACTCATGAGCCACATGAATGTGGTCTGATTTGTCAAAGTAAGTTTGTTGCAAACTCTTAATTAGTTATTAATTTGTTTTCTAGGTATCCAGACCATAGATTCTACACAAGCTCTATTCCTTCCTGTAGGGGCATCAGTGTCTCTCTTAGTGATGTTCTTCTTCTTCGATTCCGTTCAAGTAGTCTTTACAATATGCACTGCAGGTATGATTCACAGTAGTGTGTTTGAGGAATGTGAATATTGTTATCGTATTTTTAATATTTATTAACTGCGCAACATTTGGCATGTCATGTGGTGTTAAAAGATCCAAAACTAACTACAGAAAATATTGGATTCTGGTAAAACCACTTGATGCTAGGTGTTAAGTGATTTGAGTGTAATTGGTTCACTAAATTTGTATTTATTGCCTTCAAAAATTGTTAAAAGCTATTTTTTAAAAAAAAATTTACGATGGATGCTAACTCAAAGGAATAAGTAATTGAGGAATGACCAACAGCTTGGCCAAAAAATGGTTTTCAAGGAGGATAATTAAGGAGGAGAGTGATGACTTGTCGTAGAATCTCTCCAGTGCAGAAAGAGGCCATTCAGCCCACCAAATCTGCACCGACCCTCTGAAGAGCATTTTTGACCAAGATTTCAAACAGGTCTAGCAAGTTGCAACTGGATATACATGAAGTACTGTAGGCCATGAGCAGAATTGTATTGAACCGCGTTCATACCCTCATGGCTTGGCAAACCCCCACACTATCATTGCCATCAAGCTGGGAGTGACCAACCTCTACAATGTAGATTGCAAGAAGGCATACTAAGAGCAGTGAAGGCATACCTAATAATGTGGTGTCAGATTGGTGAAGCTATAATATAGTGCTACTTGCATGGAAACAGTGCAAGCAGCATGCGATGTTCAGGGCTAAGTGGTCCCACTACCAACAGATCCAATATCTGCTCCCTCGTCCTGCCACATTCAACTGTGAATGGTGATGAACAGTTAAACAACTAACAGGAGTTAGGGGCTCTACAAATATTCCCATCCTTGCTGATCAGGGAGCCCAGCACATTTATGCAAAAGACAAGGCTGAAACATTTGCATTTATCCTGAACCAGGAGTGTCAGATGGAGATCCACTCTGCCTCCACTCCTTGGCCTCCTGCTGAAGTTCCTAGTATCACAGATGCTAGTGTTCGGGCAAACCAATTTACTCTATCTGATATCAGAAACAGCTGAAACGACTAGGTCTTGTAATGTCTATGGGCTCCAACAACATTCCGGTATCAATATTGTAGACTTGTATTCCGGAATTAGACTCACCACTAGCTGAGCTGTTCCAATACAGCGATAAAACTGGCATCTACCCAACAATGTGAAAATTTCCCAATAAAACCCAAAAGAATTTCAGATGCCGTAAATCAGAAACAAAAACTGAAGTTGCTGGAAAAGCTCAGCAAGTCTGGCAGCGTCCGCAAAGAGCATTAACGTTTTGGCTCCAGTGAACCTTCTTCAGAATCCAGTTGTGAAAATTGAACTTGGCAATTGCCCAGTTGTGTCCTGTACTTAAAAAGCAAGACAAATCCAACCCAGCCAATTACCACCCTATCAGTTTACACTCTATCATCTTCAGTAAAGTGGTGGAACTGATCGTTGATAATGCTATGAAGTAGCACTTGCACAGTAATAACCTGTTTGTAAGACAGTAAGACATAAGTGCAGAAGTAGGCCATTTGGACCATTTGAGTCTGCTCTTCCATTCAATGAGATTATGACACATCTGGTAACTCCACTTTCCGGTCTCTTTTAGTCTGTAACCTTTGATTCCCTTACTGATTAGATATCAGTCTCCACCTTGAATGTTCCTAACAACCAGCCTCAATAGCCTGCTGCAGTAAAGAACGCACTACCTTCTGCGAGCAGTTTATTTCTTCTCTCTGTCCTAACTTTGCACCCCCTTACTCGGTCCTAGGCAGTCCAGCAAAGAAAAACAATCTCTCAGTATCTGAACTCATCTCTAATTTTTTTTAAGCATCAAGTGCAGAACAGCCTACTCAAACTTTCCTTAAAGTAGAAATCCCTCCTTACCCAGGATCAATTTGGTAAACTTCCTCAGGACTGCTTCCAATGTCAGTGTGTCTTTCCTTAGATAAAGGGATCAAGGTTATTCACAGTATTCCAGTTGTGGCCTCGCAAGTGTCTTATATTGTTTTAGTAAGACTTACCTTTTTATATTCCATTCCCTTTGAAATAAAGGCCAACATTTCATTTGTCTTCCCTGTTGCCAGTTGAACCTGCTTAACAGCTTTTTGTGATTAGTGCACAAGGACCCCAAATCTCCCAATGTTGCAGCTTTCTGCCAGTTTTTGCATAGCCTCACACTTTTCCACATTGTATTGCATCTGCCATATTTTTGCCGAATCACTTAACCTGTCTATATTCATCTATGTCATCCTCATTACTTGCCTTCCCACGTATTTTTGTCATCTGCAAACTTGGTGATAGTAGATTCACTTTCTCTCATCAAAGCCATTAATATTTATTGTCAATAATTGTGGCTCCGGCACTGATCCCTCCGGCTCTTATTAGAAACATAGAAAATAGGAGCAGGAGCAGGCCATTCGGTGTCTCAAGCCTACTCCATCACTTATGATCAATAGCCTGTTCCTGCTTTTCCCCCATGCCTTTGACCCCTTTAGCCCCAACTGGTATATCTGACTCATCCTGAAATTATACATTTTGATCAAGCATGCTTTCTGTGTGAAAAAATTTTTCTTCATCTCAGTCCTAACTGGTTTATCCCGTGTCCTTAGACTGTAATTCTCCTGCCATTGGGAACATCATTGATTCATCTTCCCTGTTAATCCCTGGTAGAATTTTATAGGTTTGTGAGATCACCCCTCATTCTTCTGAACAACAGCAATACAATTATAACCAATTTAACCTCTCCTTTATATGTCAGTCCTGCCACCCCTGGAATCAGTCTGGTAAACCTTTGCTGCGCAGTCTCTGTAGCAAGGACATCTTCAGATAAGGAAACGGAAACTGTACATAATAATCCAGATGTGGTCTCAACAAGGCCCTGCATAATTGCAGTAAGACATCACTGCTCAAATTCTCTCTGTCTAAAGACCAGCATACTATTTATCATCTACTTATTTGTGGACGTCTTTTTTATTTGATTTTAAATTTTCCCAATTCTCTGTCTTACCACTTTTTGATTATTGATCATTTTGCAATTTGGGTTCCACCAGGAGCCATCGCTCAGCTCCTAACCTCATAACTTTTGTTGAAACATGGAGAGAAGAGCTGAACTCCAGATGTGAAATGGCATCAAGGCAGCATTTGACTGGGTACGTAGCTCTAGGAAAGTTTGGGGGTCGATGGGTATTCAAGGAACCATACCTAACACAACGAAGGATGGTGCCAGTTGTTGGAAATCAACTATTTCCATGACATCAGTGCAGGAATTTAGTCTTGGTTTTCAAAAAGGAACTGGATAAGTTAAAGAAAATTTAACAGAAAAAAAATTGCAAGGCTTACAGGGAAGTAGTGGACTAGTGACATTAACTGCATTGCTACGTGTTGCACCAAGTGTCTTCAACTAATTCATCAACTTTGTAAATGACCTTCCCTCTATCATGAAGTCAGGTTATGATGTTTGCTGGTAATTGCACCCAATGCTCAACACAGTTTGCCATTCTTTTGAGACCTGAAGCAGCCAGGTCCTAATGCAGCAAAGCTGCGTAGCTTCCACACTTGGGCTGATAGCAGTAAGTAACATTCACACCATGCAAGTTCAGGCGATGACCATTTATGAAAGAGAGAATCTGACCACGTACCATTGAAGATCAATGGCATTAACAACATTGAATCCCCCATTGTCAACATCTGGAGGTCACCATTGACTGGAAACTGAACTGGACAATCTATAAAGCTGCTGTGGCTATAAAAGCAGATCAGAAGCTAGGTTAGGAGTTCTGCACTGTGTAACTCATTTCTTGACTCTTCAATCCCTGTCCACCATCAGCAGTGCACTGGTCACCTGTGTGATGTTGAGTCTTCACTTGCCCGGATTGGTGCAGCTCCAACAAGAAGTCAATGTCATCCAGGACAAAGCAACCTGCTTTATTTGGCACCCTTTTCAACACCACACTGACTCGGTCACATAATGACAGCACTGTGCACCATCTATAAGATGCATTAAGGCAAACTCACCAGTCTTCTCTGCCAGCATCTTTCAAAGGAAGGACAAACAGAGCAGAGCATAGGAAAGCTACCACCTTCAAATTCTCCTGATCAATCACCATCTGACTTGGAATTGAATCACTGTTCCTTCACAATCATTGGGTCAAAGCCTGGAACTCCCTCCCTAACAGCATTGCAGAGGTACCTACACCCGTGGACTGCAGTGGTTCAAGAAGGCAGCTCACCACCACGTCCAGGGAAATCAGGGATAGACAATAACTACCTGCCTAGCCAGCACTGCCCGAATTCCATGAATGGGTAAAAATACTAGTTTGCTTTTTTAGTTGTGTTGTGAATTATTAAAACATTATTAACTTGTGTAAAAATGGTTCTTTATCCCCACCGGAGGCAGGTATTATTTCTTGTCATGTGCTCGGGCATTTTCCACAAGTGAATGTAGAAGTCACAGCTTGGACACGATCATTTCTAATAGTAGTCAACTTTCTTTTGTAGAAGATTCCTTTATTAATGCAAGAAAATATAGGTATCAACTTTCCTTTTTAATTGAAGTAATTTTTGATGAATGAAGACAGTTCTGTAATAAACTCAGTATGCCAACTGAACTGATTATGTTTGATCTCTTGAGTTTGTAATCTTACCGCTGCTCTGTAGATGTGGTTCTGGCTGGAACTCACTAGATTTTTTTTCCTTTCAGTTCTTGCAACAATAGCATTTGCCTTTCTGCTGCTTCCGATGTGCCAGTATTTAACAAGACCCTGTTCGCCTCAGAACAAGTAAGCTTATAATCGTGTGTTGTGTCCACAGTGAACTTTGCGAATGGTTGTACTTTTTGTTGACTCTAGTTGATTATTTTGTGTTTTTCCCCATAAAGAGAGAATCCAACCTGTTTATTTTCCTTAAATAGCATTTATAGCCTACTGCAAACATATATTTCATGCATACTGTTTACATCTGCTTATTATCTAGAGAGTTAGTTGCATGAACTTACCTAAGATCCCAGCGATGGAGTTAATTTAAAACTGAAAAGTTTGCACTCAGTAACTGTATAGAACCTTTATTTGCCAGTAAGTTAATAAAGAACAAAAATTTACATTTGTGTAGCACCTTTCACAACCTCTATGTCCTAAAACACTGTAGCCAATGGTGTACTTTTTGAATTGTTACTGCTGTTTTTATTTAGGAAACGTGGTAGCACGCAATAGTCCTCTATACTACAGTTTTTTAAAAAAAAAACCTAAAATGCTGCTCTTGTGTAAACTGAGGGATAAAGATTAATTTGGATTGCATGAATTCATGATACTCATGCCATGTAAATTGTTGTTCCCTTTTGAGTTTTGGCATTATTGTGATTTGGCCCTGATTAATGCAAGGCAGAAAGCTTCAACAGCATGGTTCTTGCTACTCTTCAGGTTGAAATGCTTCTCCTGAATTTGGAAACATTGGTTTAATTTTATTTGACTTCTGTACAGGTTGGTGCATCTTCCCTATCAAGTCCCTTTAACTTATTATAAAGTTTTAATATAGTTTTAATACAGTCTTAACTATGTTCTTAGTGTTGGATTCCTGGAAAATCTTTCAGTCTCCAGTGCCTCCATGTTTTGTGTTTGATTTTTGTCCCCTACAATTTGTAAAGCTATGATGCACAGCAAGATAGAATGTTAGATATACAGATATAGGTGCTTATTTAATATTTAGTAAGACAATTGCTAGGTTTTGATGGAACTGGTGCAGTTTTGGATTTCAGCTGCAGTGGGAATGATGGTGAGGTTGAATTGGTCTGAGTTGGAAGTATTTAATTCTGTGATTCAGAAAATGTGAAAAGTACTTGAGCGGAATTAGTAAATAAAATGTAATGTTTGCCTCATTAGAGATTTTTTCATATTCTTCAGGGAATGTCCTCTCAAGTCAGCACTGTGGAGGAAAAGGGACATAATTTAAGAATGATAATGGTGCTAGGTCTAGCTCCATTGCAAACATTTGTGGAAGCAATTACAAAAGTCTCAATTCACTTTGTGTCAAGGCTCTTGTGCAATGGTAGTGTCCCTACCTCTGAGCCAGAAGACTTGGATTTAAATCCTACCTGTTCCAGAGATGTAATGTAATGTCTCTGAACAGGTTGATTAGAAAATAACTGTGTATGTGATTGTACTTGCCCCCACTGTGTCCTCTCTCTCCCACGGTCTTGCCTTGCAAAGCTGCCTCTCATATAACCTGCTTCCTTGTCATTGCACAGTTGGCTAAATTTTCATAGGATTGTTTCTCTTAATTTAAAACCTGTATCAACCTTTTGGCCATTGCTGAAAACCTCTATTTACTGATACGTTTACCAAGAAAGAAAAATGGAAATTGTATTTATTCAGTAACTTTCATGACCTTGTCTCAATATTTCCCAGCCACTATGGGGAAAATTATTAAAATGTTTTAATAGAAAAAATATGGCAACTAGTTTGAGATCAAGAGATGTCCTTAAAGCAGCAATAATGTAAATGGTTTTTGGTGTTTGTTGAGGAATAAGTTTAACTGATGAACTGGAGAGAGCCATCCAGTTGTAAATCAAATAGTGCATGGAATCTTTTATCTGCACTTAAATCAAGACCTCATCTGCCCTTCCAAAATCTTAAGTGAAAGATGACGACAGCTTTACTGCACTGAAATGTCAGATTAATTTATGGCATAAAGCTTTGTAAACCTGCAACCTTTTGAACAAAATGAGAAAGCTACTACTATGGCAAAGCTGATACTAAATTGGATAGTTTCATTTCTCCTATTTTATAATTAACTCGTTCATTTTTGGTTGGGTTATATGATCTATATAAAGTCAATATAGCAAATATGATCTTCTTCCCTTGTGCCCTCATCCATTTTATTACTCGTTGTTCTAAGTTGCTGTAAACAAAAAAAAAAAAAAAAAAAAAAAAAATTGTCTACTACGTTTGTCTGTGGCTGGATAAGAACTTGAGTGTCCTGGGGTTGTGAAAGGCATAGTATCGTTGCACTTTTTAAAAATACTAGTTGTGCATTTATTCAATCCAGAAGAGCTTTGGGACAGAGCATTCCTTAATTTAGAAAAACATGATTTCTTTCTTGAAGTAATTTTGATGTTTGATCATAGTTGCTTTAAAAGAGAAAGTGGTTTGTGCAGTATTAGCATAGAAATGCATTTGTGTTTGTGCATGTATTGCATAAGTTGTCATGTTTTCTTTAGCTTCACAGTGGGGATGTACGTTTGTGGGTGTGGTAGCTGTATATTCATTAGAGACTTCAAGAGAGCATAGTAAAGGCCCAAAGTCTTATTTTTTAAATTAAATTTGATTTCCTCATCTAAACAAAAATTGTAGGTGCAAACTTCTGTGACCAGATAGTGCTATGGTGATGAAGGATCTCTGCCTGTCTGTGTGCAAACCCTGCAGCTGACTTTCACCTCTTCTGATTCCACAACTGTTGGGCAGCTTCACCCTTTTCCTCCAGAGTGCCCTTTTCTGCCTAATGCAGCAGTGTAGATACTGCAGAAAATGAGGTTGAGTGAAGTGCATCATGAGTAGAAGAGCAGTAAAAACTTAAATAAGAAAAGTTTAGGGAATCTGGGAGAGAAATGAATCACTGGGAAGAAGAGCACTTCAACTGGTGAAAAGTGTAAATTTGGGGTACATGGGAGAGGAAATTTATGAAGGAAATTATAAATTTTGCTTTGAGGACTGAGTTTAATGCCTCATTAGATCACAGGGATGGTAAATTTTATTGCCCTCTATGCCAGGTGAAATTCTGCTAATATGCGATATCATAGTTATATTGTATTATATTAACTTGTAAAACTGCTTTAGTTTTTAAACTAGTGATTAGGTCAGTGATTTAGTGGTTTTCACACACAATGGACAATCATCAAGCCTACTGCCTGTGTCTACTAATTAAGCCCCAGTTAAAAGAAATCCTTAACTTCATGCAATCAAAATAGAATTTGGCCTATGAAGCTGCAGTAAAGCTATGGGTCTAATTATAAGCTGATGTAATCATGAAACATAGTTCCTAAAACCCCAGCAAATCTCATGGAATCTCATATTTAAAAAATTGTTCTCTGCCCAGCAGTAGTCTCGCCTAAAGTAATAACAAAGTACACACTGAAAATATTCAGCAGGTCTGGCAGTATCAATGGAGAGTCATTTCCATTTCAGGCCTGTGACATTTCCCCACAAGTGCTGCCAGATGTACTGAGCATTTCCAGCACTTGATCTCTCTTTTTATTTCAGATTTCCTATTATTGGTTCGTATTGCTGAAGAAAATTTGGTAGCAGATTTGGCTAGAGTGGACTGAAAAGAGTTCAGCAGGAAAGATTGACGAACAATCTCAGATGTTGAGAAATTGGTTAATGACTCTCAACTGTTGTAGTGAGGAAGGAGGATACTAGGAAAGTAATGAACCTACCATGGTCAGAGATTTGGGTAAGTTTTTAAAAAGCCAACAAAAATGGACAAAAATCATCAAGAAGGAGAAAAGAAACTAAGAGCAAACTAGCAAGTAATACAAAAATGGACAGTAAGATCTTTAAAGATTTAAAAAAAAAAGAGAGGCAGTAGTAAACATAAGTGCCTTAAAGAATAAGACTGTGAAAATAATAATGGGGAGTCTGAAAATGGCATAAGCGTTGAATAAATACTTTGCATCAGTCTTCATTGTAGAAGACACTAATAGCATTCCAAATAAATTAAGTAGTCAGGGGGGTGGGTGGATGCAAGATGAAATAAACACGCAAGCTGTCACGAGAGGAAAAACTATTCTGGAAACTTATGGGACTGAAAATGGAAAGGTCCCCTGGATCTGATGTATTATTTCTGAAGGTTACAGAAGTAGTTAGAGATGATGAATGCACTGATGTAATTTGTAGATCTTGGAAAAGTCCAGTGGATTGGAGAAAACAGCTATTGACACCCTTGTACAGAAAGGAGTGGGGACAAAAATCTAGAAGGTAAATACAGCTTGGTTAGCTTAACATCGGTGATTGGGAAAATGGTAGTGTCTATTATAAGGGATGTAATAGTGGACCATTTAGAAACACTAAGTATAATCAGGCAAAGTCAGCATGGCTTCATGAAGGAGAAATCGTGCCTGATAAATTCATTAGTGTTCTTTAAGGAGATAATATGAAAATAGATAAAGGGAAGCCAGTAGATTTAATACATTTGGATTTTCCAAAGGTGTTGCATAAAGTACCTCAAATTAGGCTACTTAACGAAATAGGAGCCCACAGTGCTAGAGGTAATATATTAGCATGGATAGAGAATTAGCTAATTGGCTGACTTCGAAATGTGTTGCCTGTTTCTGATCAAAATCCTGGAATTCCCTTCCTAATGGCATTATGGATCAACTTGCAGCAGGTGGACTGCAGCAGTTCAAGAAGGCAGCTCACCACCTTCTCAAGGGCAACTAGGGACAGGCAATAAATGCTGGCCAGCCAGCAATGCCCATACGACACAAATGAATTAAAAAAATTGGCAGAGGATTGGGGTAAAGAGTTTTCACCATTGCAATCTATAACTAATGAAGTGTCATAGGGATCAGTGCTGGGGGCACGGTTACTTATTATGGTATGTATTACTGATATGGATAACAAGTCAAAGTACTATTGACAAGTTTGCAGATGATGCAAAATAGTTGGGAAGGCAAGTAGTGAATATGACACTGTCTGCAAGGGATATAGACAAGTTAAGTGAATGGACAGAAAGTTATTAGATGGATTATAATGAAAGAAAGAATAGAAGTGCTGAATATTATTTAAGG